GGAGGAGGGAGGAGGAGGAGGAGGAGGAGGAGGAGGAGGAGGAGGAGGAGGAGGAGGAGGAGGAGGAGGAGGAGGAGGCTTGCGGGGGGCTCCCGCGGCGCGGTGGTCCTCTTCCTGCTGTTGGCGGTGCTCGTCCTCGAGGGGGCTCCTCGGTCAGGGGGGCCCACGGGGGGCTCCCGCCGTCGCCCCGCACGCCATGCCTTCGAGGCTCCCCCGTGTCGACGGAGCGCTGGACGTCTTCTCCGCACGATCCGCGCATGCCAGGAGGGAAAAAACACACAGACACAATTCATCGACGATCTCCCAGAAAATCTGGGAAAAGTGTGGGAATTGGGCGGGAAGATAAGAACCCAGAACATATGGGAAAATAGGGGGAATCTTCTTATTCGTGTGTATTTATTCGTGTGTCCCAGGGCCCCTTCACGCCCTCCCGCCTTCCTCCTTCGGCGGACGTCGGCTTGGCGCCCCGGTGCGCCTGGCGCGACCGTGTCCCCCCCTCCTCCCGCGGAGGCTGCGCCAGAACAGCTTCAAGCTCACCGCGTCCAGCATCTCCGACAAGAACTGGATGCACGCGATCCTGCAGGAGAGCAGCCACTCGAGGAGCAGGCGGGCCGGGGGGGGGAGGAAGAGGGGGGGGAGGCAGGGCGACGAGGGAGAAGTGGGGGGCGAGTGGGCTAGAGCAAGAGGGAAGCGAGGGCAAGGGGAGGGAGAGGAGATGGGGGAGGAGGGGTGGGGGAGGGATGTGACGCGGGATGGCAGGGATGCGGGGGGAGGCGAGGAGAGATGCAGGATGTGGAGGGTGGGAGGGGGTGGGGGGAGAGGGAGGGGGGTTTTGGGGGGGGGGGGGGGAGAGCGGGTTGATGGAGAGTTGATGGAGGGGGGGGGACGGGTGAGGGGCCTCGGATGGGTGTACGTCGGGAGAGGCTGCGGGGGATACATGGAGGGAGAGTGAGAAGAGGGATGGTGAGGGGAGAGGAGGGAGAGAATCGGAGAGGAAGAGGGATGCCCGGACAACCCTTCACATCCGCTCCTCCGTCAGACCCTCACCCCTCCTCCACTTCCCGCGCCCTGTTTTCCACTCCGTCCCTTCACATCCTGTCCCCATCCTAAGCATTCCTCCCTCTCCCGTTCCATCATCTTACCTTCCGCATGCCACCTCTCATTTGTTCTGCCCTCTCGTGTCCTCTTCCTTCTCCCCTTCCAGACATACTCCCTCTCAACACTTGTTGTCTTCCCCCTTTCTTGCGGTCCTTCTCCATTCCAACACGCTTTAGTGCATCTTTGCGTGTCCTCTTTCATCGCAGTGCTATCCATTTCCCCCCCTATCCTCCGGCGGCCCAGTCCCACCCCGCCCACTTTTCCCTTCTCCACTGACATCCCCTTGTTTCCATGTCTGCTTCGCCCGCCTCCTGCCTCTCCCCTCCCTGCCCCCTTTTCCGCCCTTCCTCACCATACGTATCCCGTTTTCGAACTCCTACCCTTGCCCCTCCTTCCTTCCCCTCCCTGCCTTTCCTTCTCATGCCCACGCACTCCCCCCATCCAACCCCCTTATCCGCCTCCCCCTCCGCTCCAACCATATACCGTGTCCTTGCTCTTCCCTTCCCGCCCCTCCTTCATTCCCCCCCTCCCGCCCCCCCCCCTCCTCACCGCCTCCTCTCCGCCCTGCCCTCCCCCCCCCCTCTCCCCCCTCTCATCTTTTTGCACACGCATACTCACACCATCCAGCCCCGTCTCCATCCCCTCTTCGACTTCACCTTAGACCCTGGCCAGGCTGAGGAGTACGGGGAGGAGGAGAAGGAGGCAGGATTCTCTCGAGGATGCAGGGACCTGATGACAGCAGGCATGCCAGCACTTTGAGTGCGGCCACAGAGCGCAAGACACGGCGCATCGCCCGCTGCATTCACGCATGTAGGACAGGGCGCATCGCCCGTTGCACGTTTCGCCCAAATCCCTTCATTTAAATATTGCATCTCTTTTTTCATTGAGCTGCTACTCAGCTCGCCTGTCCGCCAACATATCACACTTTCTTTTAAGGTTCCCAGACCTTTGCCGTAGCAGCAATAGTGTAAAGACGAATCCAACTGGCCAAGATTACGATCTTCTCTTTGGGCTTTGAGGTGGAGAGGTTGATTGGTGGGGGAGTGGTTCCGACACGGCTTGAACACCTGCGTAGCAGGATAACGATCGCGCGAGTCCGCTATTAGCTGTTTTGTTTCTTCACTGGCTAGGACTCTGAGCCCCTACAGGCTAGACTGATCAGGCCAGCCTTAAGACATTTTGCAGCCAGCGCCGACCATGGTCTTGGCACCGCTCGGACGTGTACATGATTCCTCGGCGAGGTCCATCGAGGCGCATTTTACACGCACGAATCCGAAACATGCACAGGGAATGGACCTCCGAGCGATGGCGAGTGGAGGTGTGGGACGTGGGAGTGATGGGCTTCGGGAGGAAGGCACGGTACTGGTACTGGTACCACCCCACCTTGGGCCCCTGTTGGCGGGCATTCCCGGTACCGCGGGGAGCCCCGCACCACCCAAGGTAGTACCATGCAAAGTAACAGTCCCGCAGCCAGCTCTCAATGGACAAGTTTACACGCCCCAGGCTACCTAGGGTCAGGAGAGAAAAGTATTCCGACGGTAGGACCCCACATGAGAATAGGTTTAGCTTGCCTGGGGTTCTCCTCCTGCCCCCTCCCTTCTCCCACCCACTCCTGCCCCATCCTCCTCCTCCTGCCTGATCCTGCCTACTCCTCCTGCCTCAACCCCTGCCTCCTCTTCTTGCCTCAACCACCACCTCCTCCTCCTTTTCCTCCTCCTCCTCGTTATGCCACCTCCTCCCATTCCCCCTGTTCCTCCTGCCTCCTGCGTCCTCCTCCTGCTTTCCCTCTCCCTCCTCCTCTTCCCCCTCCTCTTCCGCCTCCCCTCTCCCGCCTCCTCCTCTCCCTCTCCTTCCTCCGCCTACTCCTCCTCGTCTCCATCTTCCTCCCCCTCCTCCTCTCCCTCATCCTCCTGCCTACTCCTTAGGCATCCTGCCTCCTCCTGAGGCCTCTTGAGGCCTCCTGGAGCCTTCTGCGCCTCCCGGGACATCCTGGGGCCTCCTAAGGCACTCCTCTTCTTCCTTGTCCTCCTCGTCCTTCTCGCCATCTGCCTCCTCCTCCTCTTCCTCCTCCTCTTCCTCCTTCTCTTTCTCGTCCTGCATCCTCCTTCGTCCTTCTCCCCCTCCTCCTCCTCCTCCTCCTCCTCCTCCTCCTCCTCCTCCTCTTCCTCCTCCTCGTGCGGGACACGACCCAGAGGAAGCGCACGACGTGCGTCCCAAGAGATACGCACCGGAGGACGACCCAGAGGAAACGCGCGCTGGAGGACGTCCCAGAGGACGACCCAGAGGAAGCACAGGAGGTACGGGCCCCATAGGGAGGGAGCTCCCGCCCGATACTTACCCTATGCTCAAGGCCCAGGAGCCCAAATGCGACGACAGTTACAGGATTCCGATGACCCGCTTCGGATTACAAACATGAGCTGCGGGCCCCATAGGGAGGGGGCTCCCGCCTGAGACTTCCTTGCGAATCAGGCGAAGACGAGGCTCCCGCTGGATTTTCCTCCACAGTCAAGCTTCGGGAACCCAGAAGGGACGACAGTTACACGGATGAGTATGACCCGCTCGGATTACCAACATGAGGTGCGGGCCCCACGGGGAGGGGACTCCCGCTTGAAACTTCCTCAAAAATATGATGTGCGGGCTCAATAAGGAGGGGGTTCCCGCCCGAGACTTCCTCGCAATTCAGGCACAGACGAGGTTCTGTTCTCGCTTGATATTTCCCCCACGGTCAGGCTTCAGGAGCCCAAAAGTGACGACAGTTACGCGGATGTGGATGACCCGATCGGATTACCAACGTGAAGTGCGGGCCCCATAGGGAGGGTGTTCCCGCCTAAGACTTCCTCAAACACGTGAGCGGCTGGCCCCATGAGGCGGAGGGTCCCGACTGAGACGTCTTCGCAGTTCACTCAGAGACGAGGCTCCCGCTTGATTTTCTTTTATTCAAGCCTCAGGAGCCCAAAAGTAACGACAGACACACGGATGATTATGACCCGCTCGGATTACCAACATGAAAATGTGGGCCCCATAGGGAGGTGGTTCCCGCCTGAGACTTCTCCACAAGTCATTCACAGACGAGGCTCCCGCCTGATACGTCCTCCACATTCAGGCCTGAGGAGTTCCTGCGCGGGGTGTCCAGAGAACACGAGGTTGAGTGATGAGAGAGAGAGTGTGTGTATGATGTGCGAAATAGTATGATGATGGTTGTGGTGGTGATGCTGAGGATGCTGATGATGATGATGATGGTGGTGATGATCGATGGCCGATGGTGATGGTGATCGACGGTGAGTGAGTGAGTATGATGACGGTGGTGGTGATGATGACGACAGATGGTGATGATGACCGATGACGGGGTGAATGCGTGAGTGAGGCGGATAGTGGGAGGGAGATGAGGTTTTTGCGCGGAGGGTGTCCAGAGAAAACAAGAACCCCACTTTGGATGTGGGGAAAACACACACCGACACAATGAATCGTCGACCCTCCGACGGAATGTGAAACTATAGAGAGGATCTTTGTGTGTACGTATGTGTGTGTCCCTGGGCCCCCTCATAGGGTGCTTTCCGTTTTTCCCAGGGGCAGAGTTAGTCTTTAAGACGCCTATACAGCACAATTCGACGCCTGTTTGATGAGCGACCGCCCTGCTTGTACATTCGAAGCACTAGGCCAGCCTGCACCTCAGAGCCAGCCTAGAAATACAAGTGCCCTGTCCAATCCTCGAAAATGTTTAGTGCCACGTCGCTTCAATTTCGTACGAATAGGGGTGGTGGGGGTTCGGGTTTGGGGAGTGAGGAGGATCTGATTGGAAGGGCGCGTACCTCGACAGAGGGGGTTTTATGTTCTTTGTTGTGGTCTACCGTTCCGCGTTTTAGTGCCTCATTTTTTTCCCCTGTTCACCGTAGCCTTGCCTAATTTTGCCAGATTGCCCACGCACATACAGTGCGTACAACGTTTGCCCGAATGCCGTGATTTTACAAGATAGCTAGCACAGCGCCAGCCTTCAGCAACAGCACGCAACTTCGTGTGGCAGTTCTCGTCAACGTCGCACATGCCGGCCACCACTGCCTGAACACCCATATTTCAAACCAACAGGTCTTACAGCGCATTGCGTCAGTTATAATGCCCTTGGCCTGCTTTAAGCCAGCCCTTGCTACGATATGGCCACATCACTCACAGGCAAGCTTGCACAATGCTAGCCGACAGCAATGCGAGATTCCTCACACCCGAAGTTTAGTCGTTCGCTTTTTATTGCATTGGCGTTGGCGGGGGGGGGTATTGGAGTGAGCAACGGGGGATCAAGGATGCCTCCGCTGGATCATCTTGATACGTTACCGTTTTGCTCAGGCCAGCCAGCATAACTTTGCCAACCGACACGCGCAGCTGATTTGCCGAGTTCGTTTTTCTTACATGGGAGGCGGTGGTGGTGAGGATGGTAGATGGTGGAGGAGAAGTCGCATTATTGATAACAGCCTCTGTACTACAGTCGATATTAGCAGCTATTTACCAGCGGTGCCGCCCGCTCTTGTGGTTCGTCTCATTTTCATTCGTCGTAGTCATCATGCTCATGTTTATTGGATTGTGCGTTTGTATCATCATTCCTTTCTTGCATTTCCGCGGGCTCGTGTGATTCTGCCCACTGGGGCTACTATCCTTTCTTATGTGCTACGTCATCTACATCAGTCCTCGGTCCAATGTGTTTCCGTCGCATCGCTAAGTCGGCCGAGCTGCAGCTCGAGCCTTTTGCATACCCGAGGAGAGCTACAACTCTGCAGGAAGGATGCCCCCTGTTGCACCCTCGCCCCCTCTTCGCCCCGTAGCCATTTTGGCTCAAGATCAGGCCCACGCGCACAGACCAGAAGACATCGGCAGCGCTGCTGCTTCCTCACCCAAGCAGCAGAGATGGCGCCGATGATGAAGTCCACGGTCATGACCAAGAGCGCCCTCACCGCAGCGCTGGCGGAGGCCTGCGAGGTGAAGAGGGGCGTGATTGGCACGGCCTTGAGCACTCTCGCGAGCATTGCGACAAACGAGGCGAAGAAGAACGGCAAGTTCGTCATCCCGGGCGTTGTGATGATCAAGACCCGCCAGAAGAAGGCGACCAAGGCGGGGAAGCGCGAGATCTTCGGCAAGGTCGTCATGGTGAAGGCGAAGCCGGCCAAGACCATCGTGAAGGCCTTCCCCGCGAAGGCCCTCAAGGACGAGTTCTGAGGGCCTCCCAGTCTGTGGCGAGCCCCGCGAAGAGACTCCTCGTGTGTCCATCCTTCCTCCGAGGATTCTTCGTGTCATCTTGTCCAGGTTGGTTGTAGGGTGCGTGGTCATGCATGGCCTTCCAGTGCCAGGACGCTTAGCGAGGGCGACCATATGTATTCCACATCCGCCTCGTAGAGACAAAACAAAGTAGTTGTTTGTCGTCGTGTTCTAGCGGGTGGTCGGCGCGGTCGGAGCGTCAGACCGGGCAACGAGTTTCAAATCTGGCGAGAAGCGGAACAGCAGCGACGAGGACGGCCGCAGAGGGGGGATGGCGGGGATGCGCGCATCAAAAATGCATGTGCACATGAAATCACAATAACCAGCGATATTGGTGATTTGACACTGGCGGAGAAGCAGGATGAGGATAGTGATGTAACAGGCCTACCTGCTTGCCTTCATCCTTTCCCGCGTCTTCCTTTTGTCCTCCGCTAGCAGGTGCATCCCCACCCCCCTCATCCCTTCTGTTCGTCTCTTCTTCGCTCTCGGCCTATCGTTGCCTCCCACTCTTCCCTTCTCCACCCTCCTTCCCGTCCGCCCTGTTCCGTATCGTGGACGGCTATGTCGGCCTCAATGAGACACTTTCGCGCGTCCAAGTGAAAGGTGGCAGGCAGCACATGAGCTGAAGGGTTTCCACATTTTTTTTGACCACAGCCTTGACCTTTCTGGGTGCTTGCCCGCCTTTCTATTCATCCAACTGCGAGTGCCTGTCACAGGGGCCGAATTGAGATTTTGTTCACAGATGTCTGTCGCCTGATCAACTGGCTTGTAATTGTGAACAGTGGCCTTCGGCCCATCCCGCCACCGTGCCTGGGTTGCGGGTCAGAGTTCTCAGGGATGTTTCTTCGTGTCTCTTCCGGGCGCTCTCTGGGGCCTCTTGGGAGCACGTTTGGGGGCTCTCGGGGGCCTCTTGGAGGCCTTTTGGGAGCCCTTGGGGCCTTTTGGGGGCCTCTTGGGGCCTCTTGGGGGCCTCTTGGGGCCTCCTGGGGGGCCCTCGGGGCCGAGGGCTCGAAATGTCTGTTCGGGTTCCCCATTTGGGCCCCCTCTCGGGGCCGTCTTGGGGCCCTCTTGGGCCCTTTTGGGCCGTCTTGGGCACCTCTTGGGCCATCTGCGGGCCCTCTTGGGCCGTCTTGCGGCCCTCTTGGCCTTGGGGCCGCCTTGCGGCGATCTTGGGGGCCTCGTGGGCCGTTCTGGAGCGTCGGAAAGCCGAAAAGGCGAGAAGGCCAAAAACCTTCAAAAACCTACGGATAAAAAGATATTGTTGCCTCTTGCAGCGCCTCTTGGAACACTCTTGGGACGTCTTCGGGGCCTCTTGGGCCGTGTTGAGGCTATCTTGAGCGTATTGGGGCACTCTTGAGCTTACTCGGAGGCATTTTCCGCCTTCTTGAGCGCTTTATTGGCCCATGTTTGGCCGGCTGCGCTAATTACTGGAGGACGCGCGAGACGCCCAGGGAATCCCCGGAAATCCGCAGGAATCCTGGGGAATCCTTGGAAATCCCGAGGAATCCCCTCCTCGCGAAACCCGTAGTCTGGGCCCTTACCACATCTCTGAGCTTCTCAGGGCTGCTTGAGCCTTGCGGCACTCCATTACGTGCCGCACGCACGCTGGCGGATCGCAAGCATACGAGAACGTGATTGAGTTGATGAACGTTGGCAGTGTCAAATCTGCAGTGGCCTCGAGACGCCCTCCTCTTGGCAATGTCAGCTCGTGGGGACTTCAGGCTCACTTGGCAACTCGCAGATCGTCCATAGTTTAACTGTCCATCGGTGTTGCTGTCTCTTCACTGCTAGCTGCTTCGACTAGGCAGTGCCTTTGCTGTAGTTTGTTTGTTTTTCCATGGGTGCCTCGAAGAGCGCGTTTCTCGGCAGTGTGTCCGCGTATTGGCTACCATTGTGGATAACACGTTCTCACGAGGAGATGTTTTCTTCGTCTGGATTTGGCCTGTGCCGTAATGCGACAAACAATCCTGCCCCCCGCGCCCGAGACTACATGAATGGAGAGCCCTGAGATACTGGAGCTTTGGGGACACGCAACCCCGGAAGCCTTGTTGGCAGAGGTCTGCAGCGTTCGACAGGTCACCATCGAGCTCCGTGGTGGCCTCAGGAAATACGTCGAGCCGCCCATTCCTCATACTTCGTCCAGTCCCCCACTTCCGCCTCCTCTTCCCCTCCTTCCCCCGCCATGTAATGCCTCCTCCTGTCATCATCCTCCCTCCTCTCCCCTTCTTCCTCGTCCCCCGCCTTCCTTTGCCCTCCACTCTCCCCGCTCTTCCTTCCCTTAGGTCCCCTACCCCTCCAGCGGCCAGTCCGCCAATTGAAGAGGGGCACGGCGAAGCAAGGCGGGAGACCAATCCTGGCTGCCTCCATCACCTCCATCCTGCCCGTCCTCCTCTTGCACAACCCCCTCCTGTATCCCAGAGATTCGAGGATTGAGGTCTGTGGACACGTTGGATCCTCTGTTGTCCTCCCGTGCCCGCTGCTGGAGACCTTCCCCCCTCACCCCGCCTGCCACGCTTCCTCCCCCCCCTCGGCAGGTGCGTTGCGAACAAGGTGAAGAGCACGTTCTCGAAGGCCACGTCCACGGTCTGGCAGCGCGCGAAGACGACCTGCATAGAGCGGCTCGTGAGGCGGGCGGTGGGACGTGCACCGGAGGGGCCGGGAGAGCAGGCCTGGCAGGATACCCATGCTGTCCCGCTTAGACGGCAGATCGAAGCCTCGGTAGGGGGCCACATGCGAACCCTACCCCTACCCCCCACGATTTCTGAGGGGGAGGGTGGCGTTCACTTCGTTCGGGAGCTCCCGAGCGAAGTGAACCCCACCCTCCCCCTCAGGAATCGTGGGGGGTAGGGGTAGGGTTCGCGTGTGGTCTCCTACTCGGACGAGGCGTCCTTGCAGCAAGCAGCAAGGTCTGGGTAGTCGAAGGCCAGACTGTCAGACTCGATAAGGGCCCAAGGGCCAATCTGGCCTGGCCATATTGGAGGACTTGGGTTAGTCGCCAGACTGGATTCGCGTTGGCTCCCTCGCCAGATTGCCCCCGTTTGCCAGATTGGGCCTGCCAGATTGGCGCCAGATTGGCTTCGACTACCCAGAAGGTGCCACGGCCCGGGATGGGCTCGGAAGCGACCTTGCTACGACGTCCCTGGCAGGCACACCGCCAGCGCTGACGGGGGGGCGGGGGGAAGGCTCGCCTGCGAGGAGGCTCCCTCCTTGGCAGGGGTCTCGGCCCCTCGCCCAGGCCAGCGGCGTAGCAGGAAGGACGGAATGAAAGGAGAGCAGCAGCGCGAGGAGGCACGATTCGGCACTCCAGGAGGTGGCGACTTGTGCTGGCGGACGGGCGGGGGGAAAAAGATGTGGGAGACCCGGGAGGAGAAGGCGGAGGAGGAGCAAGAGGATGTTGTCGATGTGAAGGAGGGGGAGGAGGAGGAAGCGGAGGAGGAGGAGGAGGAGGAGGAGGCGGAGGAGGAGGAGGGAGAGGAGGCCAGGAGGGGGAAAGGGTGGAATGGAGGCAGAGGGAGGAGTAGCACCAGGAGGTGCGATTCGGCCTCCCGAGCTGCTCGTTGGGGCCTTGGAAGAGTGCCGCTAGCGCATTGACGCCTACTGCCGCGCCCGCAGTGGCAAGCTTGTTCGGCAGGAAGACGAGGGGAATGAAAATGGGAGGCGAGGGGGGACCAAGAGGAGGCCGTCGATGTGAAGGAGGAGGACGAGGAGGCCTCGTCGTTGAAAATCCGTTGTTGCGGGGCAAGGGTAGGGAGGGCGAAGGAGGAGCAAGGCGAGTCGAAATTACTCGACGCGGAGATCCCCATATGTGCATCTCGTAGTGATGGCAAGCTTCGGTAGACGACATTGTCCTTTTCAATCTCCGAGTGTCAGCGAATCCACATGGAAAACGAGGCCGAGCGAGACGCCGACGACTACGACAACTTTAAGTAGTTGCTTCCTCCGTCCGTGCTCCTCCTCCTCCTTGTCCTCCTCTTTCTCCCGCTGTCCTTATGAACACCTGTCACGAACATCCATCCGTGAAGAAAGGAACGGGCCCGTGCAGTACCCCCTGGCGCCCCCCCTTGGGAGTGCTGAAACCAGCGCCTCGCCTGAGACATCCATCCTCGGAAACTGCTCCAGAAGAGAAGGATGTTGAGCACCCAAACAGGCAAACCGCCTGAGAAATCCCCCCAATCTGGGCGCGAACGGGCCCGTGCAATACCCCATGGTGTCCGCCCTTGGGAGCACTGAAAGCAGCGCCTCGCTTGAGACATCTTCGGAAACTGTTCCGAAAGAGAAGGATGTTGAGCACCCAAGGTGATATACCCCCTGGCGCCCCCCCCTCGGGAGTACTGAAAGCAGCGCCTCGCCTGAGACATCCTCGGAATCTGCTCCGAAAGAGAAGGATGTTGGGCACTCAAACAGGCAAACCGCCTGAGACATCCCCCCAATCCGGGCGCGAACGGGCCTGTGATATACCTTTTGGCGCCCCCCTTGGGAGTACTGAAACCAGCGTCTCGCCTGAGACATCCTCGGAAACTGCTCCAAAAGCGGAAGATGTCGGGCACCGACACAGGCAGACCGCTCGAGACATCCCCGCCATTTTGGCGCGAACGGAGCAGTGCAATACCCCTTGGCGGCTCCCCCTTGGAGGCGAAAGTGGGTGCCTCGCTCGAGACATCCTCCAAATCTGCTCCGAGAGCGGAGGATGTCGGGCATCAAATCAGGCAAACCGCTCGAGATTTCCCGGCTATTTTGGCGTGAACGGAAGAGTGCAATACCCCTTGGCGGCTCCCCCTTGGATGCGAAAATGGGCGCCTCGCACGAGAGATCTTCCAAATCCGCTCCGAAAGCAGAGGATGTCGGGCACCAAAACAGGCAAACCGCTCGAGACATCCCCGCCATTTTTGCGCGAACGGAGGAGTGCAATACCCCCTGGCGGCTCCCCCTTGGAGGCGAAAGTGAGCGCCTCGCTCGAGACATCCTCCAAATCTGCTCCGAAAGCGGGTGATGTCGGGCACCAAACAGGCACATTGTTTGAGATATCCCCGCCATTTTGGTGCGGATGGAGGAGTGCAGTACTTCGCCTCGCCTGAGACATCGCACAACGTGTTTGTGTGTGTGTCTGAGCGCAGAAGTACCAGGAGTGTGAGTGAGTCTGCATATGATTGACCCCGAGCATGAAGAACTTGAGTATCAACACTCGAAGAGCGAGTGCATCTCAGTATGAGTGAGTCTGGATATGCGTGAGTCTACTTGTGAGTGGGTCAGAGAATTATGACCTGAGGGTGGGATGTGTTGAGGGTGGGAGATGTGTTCTCTTTCTCGCTTTCTCTCTCTATCTCTCTCTCTCTCTCGCTCCGCGCGGTCTAAAAAAATACTCGACGCGGGGATCCCCAAATGTGCATACCATAGTGATGGTAAGCTTCGTTAGAAGGTATTGTCGTTTTCAATATCCGAGTGTCAGCGAATCCACGTGGAAAACGAGGCCGAGAGAGGCGCCGACGACTACAACGATTTTAAGCAGTCGCTTCCTCCTTCCGCCCTCCTCCTCCTCCTCCTCCTTGTCCTCCTCCTCTTTCCCTTCCTTTCCCTATGACCACCTGTCAGGAACATCTGCCCGTGCAGATGAGAACGGGCCCGTGCAATACCCTTTGGCGCCCCCCATCGCCTCGCTTGATACATTCTCGGAAACTGCTCCAGAAGAGAAGGATGTTGAGCACCCAAACAGGCAGACCGCCTGAGACATCCCCCCAATCCGGGCGCGAACGGGCATGTGATATACCCCGTTGCCCCCCCCCCCCCCCTGGGAGTATTGAAACCAGCTCCTCGCCTGAGACGTCGTCGGACACCGCTCTGAAAGAGAAGGATGTTGGGCACTCAAACAGGCAAACCGCCTGAGACATCCCCCCAATCCGGGCGCGAACGGCGGGCCTGTGATATATCCCTGGCGCCCCGCCTTGGGAGTACTGAAGCCAGCGCCTCGCCTGAGACATCCTCGGAAACTGCTCCAAAAGCGGAAAGTGTATGGCACCGAAACAGGCAAGCCGCTCGAGACATCCCCACCATTTTCGGCGCCAACGGAGGAGTGCAATACCTACTGGCGCTTCTCCTTTGGAGCCGAAAATGAGTACCTCGCTCGAGACATCTTCCAAATCCGCTCCGAAAGCGGATGATGTCGGGCACCAAAGCAGGCAAACACATCCCCGCCATTTTGGCGCGAACGGAGGAGTGCAATACCCTCTGGCGGCTCCCCTTTGGAGGCGAACATGAGCGCCTCGCCTGAGACATCCTCCAAATCTGCTCCGAGAGCGGAGGATGTCGGGCACCAAACAGGCAAACCGTTCGAGACATCCCCGCCATTTTTGCGCGAACGGAGGGGTGCAATACCCCCTCCCTGGTGCCCCCCCCCTTGGGAGCACTGGAACCAGCGCCTCGCCTGAGACATCATCAGAACGTGTGTGTGAATCTGAGCGCGGAAGTACCAGGAGTGTGAGTGAGTCTGCATATGAGTGATCCCGGGCGAGAGAAACCTGCGTACCACGAATCTAAGAGCGAGTGCATCTGAGTATGAGTGAGTCTGAAATATGCGTGAGTATACATGCGAGTGGGTCAGAGAATGATGGCTTGAGGGTGGGAGGTGTTCTCTCCGCGCGGTGAAAGTAATGACAATAACCCCATCCTTAGGACATGGCGAAAAGAACCCCTATCCTTAAAACATGGGGGGCAAAACGGAAGTATTCACATACACTTCCTGAGTTGCGCACTGACTTCTTGGAGTGGCGTCGGGCCCCCCTGTCGGCCCTTTTGGCGCCGCCCCTGGCGCGCTCAGCGCGCTCCTGAATGCTTCATAGTTTATACGACGATGAACTTTCTGTTGGCTTTCTCTTCCTTTGAGGAAGCCGTCGGTGTGAAGGAGGAGGAATAGGGGGAGGAGACCTTGTCGCTGAACCCTTGTCGAAGTCCACAACGCGGTGCCCTAGCGGGTTTTGTTGTGCACACCCTGTTCGATGGTCTACGTCCTGGTGTTGGGCGCGACCCTGTTCTATGATCCGCGTCTTTCTATCCCCCGACGGCTTATAGAACAAGCATTGGCTCTGCAGTCTTTGCGGCTCAAAGAGCCCTTTGTTCCGATCTCGTCTTGTTTCTCGGACTGCGGCTTTGAAGACGTTACGTCCCATTCTCGTGTTCGAGTATGTACAGCATCAAAAGGGGGGAGGCGGGCGGGAGCGAACGACTGGTGGGATGTTGGGGGAGGTAGAAAGGAGGAGGAGGAGGCGGATGAGGAGGAGGACCATATGAGTTCCAACACGCACACAGAAACCATCGATGTTGCAGTACGCCATCATGCCCAATTGCCAGAGTACAGTTCACGTGTCCCTTCTCTTTATGCGCCAAGCCCCTGCTGGAAGGATGAGAGCCCGAACGGTGGCAACTTGTCGGTGTGTGTACTGGCGTATGCGTAAAATGTCAGGGCGGTGTCTCAGTGGTGAGCGATAACAGAGGATGACGAATACGGTTGTCTCTGCGCTCTACGATTCATGTAGGAGGCTTATGCTAGTCCGCCGGCCCCCATTCACAAAGGAGCCAATTCCAGAGTTGCCGCCAGGCCCCAGTCTTAGCTTGAGTGATGTTGTTTCCAGCGGGT